GTGCACTGCTTGCGTTTTCTTGATCGCTCATACATCACACACACACACACACACACACACACACACACACACACACACACACACACACACACACACACACACACACACGCACACACACATACACACAACCATATTACGTGGGAAATAAAAAGTTCCTCGTGAGTACAAGGAGGGTATCAATTATTGTTCTAAGGTACTTGAGTGAGCACAAAACCTGTGACTTAACTTGAGGTTTCTAACACTTTCCCACAGCACCAGCCATAAGTCTTTGATAGGAAAGAAAAGAAAAGAAAGAGCAAGCCACTGCAGAACTCCCACCAACCACCCAGGATTTATGTTGCTTATATTATGACGTGGTACATTTATCACACGATAAGGCGAATGATGAAGGACTTTGCGAAGTTCGTCTTATAGCTGAGCTGTCTCAACTCGTTAAAAGTAAAAGCAGTTTTAAATGCAATGTGGCTGACCAATAAAATTAACACGCGTTCATTCATACTCATCCTGTTGCCTTGACTCTTTATCGTATTGTTCGTTTAGTTTTAGTTTGATTAAGTGTTTTACGGCACTTGCAACACAATAAAGTTATATAAGTGCCGAAGATTAAAGGTGTTATTTGAGATTAACAAACACAATAAAGGAGGAGGAGAGAAAAGGGCGTCAAATTTGTATTAGAAAAGAAGGAGCAAACCACACCAGAGCACCCGTCAACCATACGCCATACATGTTTGATAGGAAAGGAAAGAAGAAGCAAGCCACAACAGAGCTCCCGCCAACCCCCCACGATCTATGTTGGGTATGTGGAGAGTACATTTATCACATTACGTTAAGGCGTATGATGTTCACCGTGTCCACTAGGTTAGTCTTATGGCTTTTTAAAAGTAAAAGCAGTGTTAAATGCAAAGTGACTGACCAATGAAATGAACTGTGGCTTTCTCACAAGCTGTTACCTTGGCTCTGTAGTGTAATGCTCGTTTAGTTTTAGTTTTTTGTTTTGTTTTAGAAGTGGTTTTACGGCTCTCGTAACTGCTTAAGGTCATATGAGCGTCAGAAGATTAGAGCTGTTACAAGAGAGGAAGAAACATTTTAAAAAAGAAGAACGGGAGATAAGAACGATAGATGTTTGATGTGGATGGTTAGCTGGTGCTCTGGTGTGGTTTGCTTCTTCTTTCCTATCCAGCATCTATCGTCTTTATCTTCCCTCCTTCTTTTTTATGTTTGTTACTCTCTTGTAACACCTCTAATCTTCTGACCCTCATGTGACCTTATGCACTAGCGAGCGGAGTAAATGTCTTACTAAAACTAAAGATGTTTGATAGGAAAGAAGAAGCAAACCACACCAAAGCACCCGCCAACTAGTACGAACATACCACCGGATGGCACCAATCAAAACACACTTCAGTCATTCCATTCGGATGAGTCCTACTTGACAACATTAAGTGAGGCAGCGTGGTGGAATCAGGCGCTCGTCAAAATAATCAAAATGAAGAAACTTCCATTTTTCCACAGGTCAATGAATTTTTACGATTTTTGTTTTTTAGCTTAACACCATTCATGCCCATTAAAGAATTCATTTCTGTGTGGATTTTTCTGAAAAACGTTCATTAAAAACACAGAAAATGTAAATTTTCAGTTACCACGGACTCTTAAGCGAAGTAAATAACTTCTAACCTTTGGCGGCCATTTTCTCACTAATTTTACCTCTGAAAACAAGTGACCCCCACCTCATTCTTGCGCAAATATCTCGACTTATATTCAAGATAAATGGATACTTTTTTCATCCAAATAAAGACAAGTGAACAAGCTTTAAGATGATACCAATAACTCTACATGCCCAAAAATTGACGAGAGCCTGATTCCACAACGCTGCCTCACTTTCATTTCTAACTAAAGGAAATAAAATGAACAACATGGTAAAGACAAGAGAGAACACGCTGGGATTCCCCCACCCCCCACCCCCTCCCTCCAGTGCCTTCTACGTCAATAACCGGATGACACCAATTTTACAGCACTTGCAGCACAAATAGGTCAGAGAATGATCTTGTCATATTTTTTATAGTGTTTGAGCGCGTGAAATCCGCAGCTTGCATTGTATGCTTCGGTGGAAGCCGAGAATGTTTCTGAGTGTTCTCAGAGGGCCTGCCGGGGTAATAATAGTTGTAAAGTGCATAGAGCATGCTGCAAAGAATAAGTATGCGCTATATAAATGCAATTATTTTTTTTTATTTTTTTAAAAATTGGTATTAGTATTGTTA